GATGTGGCCACCACTGCAGACACTTGCACAGATCTGTATCAGAAGACTGAAAGGGAATTAGAAAAATATCGCTCTGCGTGGAGGCGATGCAACAAGAAACCACCTGGGTTTTTTCCTTCACCAGCTTTTTACGTACAACCAGTGTCTACCCAACCCAACACCGTGAAATAGCATCCACTCTCCTGACAGTTTTTATTTTTCAGAAATGCAAAAGCCAGATGATTCTGTGCTTTTAAAATGATCATGTAACAACTGGGGTTATTTGATATTTTAATTTTTTGATGCCAGCAGGAGACAGGAATGAAGATACCAATTGATGTAGCAAAGCCCCAGTACTTTTGAAATCATTTTAGGTCTCTGTCAGCTGTCCAATATATACAGATTTTTCTACCTTTCGTCTTTCTATCAAACACTCAGAGGTCTTTAAAAATCCCAATCCTACCCTCTGCCACTCCCCAGACCACCCACCACAAGCTTACCTTGTAGAGCCCATTGCTTAATTGGTCTGCACACATTAAATACTGGGTTTGGTGTGAATTATATGATTTTTTTTGGTGTACTTTATAGCCAGAAAATTATTTGACATTTTTGTGAGAGCAGAATGGTGTGGTGGGAGGACGAGCAATTCGTATTGACCGAAACAAGAAGTTTCTTTCTTTACAGGTGGCTGGATATTATTTTTAACAGTTGTTGAATACTGTGAAATTAATGTTGGATTATTTCACCTTATTACTATTGCAGTGCTTGTAAAGGAGGTTACGTGTATTCATAATTAGTGAGGGGTGCTCAGTAAGAGGAAAACGTGTGGCACTCAAATGGGAGAAGTTGGGTGTGTGATCATGATGTGGAAAGAGCTTTGGATTGGTCTTTGAAGGACAGAAAGGCAAATTGAAAAGCCAATTGGTTTCCTTAAGCAAGCTTGAGGCTCTGCCTGTAAGTATTGCCTGGAGCCTTCAGTGACCACGTCTCTAATATCTGTAATGAAATATAACTGCATTGCTCTTATGTGTACTTAAGCTAGTTTGGGTAAAAGAAAATCTTTACAAATCTCTTTTAAAGGTAGTATAATTCTAGACATTGATAATTCACATTTGTTTTGTTAAAAAAAGCCTTTCTGCTTAACATAGATCCTTTCCCACTTTTTTTTTTGAACCTGATAGGAAATTTGAAGCATTTCTGAGCATTTTAGTACTTTTTGTGGGTTCACCATGGTCAGCGGCTCAGCCCCACACAGCTGCTCACTCACTCCCCTCCACCAGGATAGGGGAGAGAATCGCAAGGGTAAAAGTGTAAAAGCTTGTGGGTTGAGATAAAAACAGTTAAACAGGTAAAGCAAAACAAGGCATGCATTCACAAATCCAGAACACAGCCCCATGCCAGCTACTACGCAGAAAAGTAACACTTGCCCAACCAAAACCAGTACAGCAATTTTTATACTATTCCTTTGAATATTATTTTTTGACATTAAAATGTATGTTGTAACACTGGTTGGGTCATATGAATGAAAAGCGCTGGAATTCTTTTCACCCCTTGACAAGCTAGCTGTGTATTTTAAGCCTGTAAGTTTCCTTTGTGGATTACACTGATGTCTGATACAACCCTGTTTGTTTGGAAAGCTCTCAAAATAGGTTAAGAGAAATGAGCTCTTAAATAAATGTTTATCAACTTGTTCTTGTTGCTGTCGTGTTGCTGTGTTTACATGGTAGCTTTTGTCTCATGTTTTAAATTTTAGACAAAGAAAGATCTAGCTCTGCTAGATTGCTGTTGGATTTTTCCCAATTGTATTCCAGTTATTTCAACTAATTACCTCATCTGAAGCTTTCAGAACTTTTATGTTTAATTTGTGAGTTTTCCTTGAATTTGAATAGTTAGAACAGCAGAAGAAGAAAGAAATAATGGGTTTATGTTCTGTCAGCTTTAAAAGAAAGGTGTAAATAATTGACGAGGAGTGACTTGGAGACCACATCGTTCCATATAAAATGTAATGAAAAGTAATAAAACAATAGTATTATTTGGTTGCAAAAAAACCATTAATATTTTGTTTCCCGAATGCATTTTTTTGCAGTGCGTGGACCAGTTGACAAGGATCCAAGCTGAATTACAAGAGACAGTAAAAGATTTAGCTAAGGGCAAAAAGAAATATTTTGAGACTGAACAGATGGCACAAGCGGTGCGGGAGAAAGCTGATATTGAGGCCAAGTATGTTTTTATAATAGCATATGTATAAATAATTATATGTGTATAAAGCAGATTTGTACTTGTATTAGTTTTTACACTTGATATTATTTTAGGAGAAAGATAATTGCTTTCAATGAGCTCGTGCCAATTGTTTTTCTTCTTGCTTATATAAATGTTTGTAACCATTTCAGGCACGCTTTTACCCTGATAGTCGAGTGTCACTCATTTAGGCTGCTTTCTTTAGGGGGGAAGTTAAACTGGCTGCTTTAATTTGACCCTTTCAGAGGACACTGTGTGAGCTGGCACTGTTTTTGATATGAAAGGTTGTGATTTCCATTTTCGAAGATAAATTTTGGAGGCTTTAGGTTTTTATGCTCCTTGACAGCCTGAAGGGGTTGATTTCCTTCCTTTCAAGAAAGCAACTCACTCACACGTTTTCAGTTTGCAGTTTGGGCTGTCTTACGGGAATTTGCCTTATCCTTTTTGTGGAAGTTTATTTAGTTATTTTTATTATGTGGAGAAATTTCCTCAGAGTTGTTCTTAAGGAATGAAGAGAAATTATGGTTTCATTAGAGAATTTTTCTGTCTTTCACCATATGAAGGCTGGATGATGAAGAGAAGAGCTTTAATAAGATGATCCGTAATTCCCAAAGATAGTAAAAAAACCCAAACCAACCAACCAACCAACCAATTAAAAACTTGAGCTTGGGAATTCAGGGTCGGATTCATACTGCATTATTGTTCAGATTAAAATAACTATTTACTTGATTTTGTTTTCTGACTTACTTTTTAAACCAGCATCTTTCCAATAGCTAATAATGTACCTCTCTAATTTCTATTTCATGAATCCACATGTGAAAATGGGACCAATTCTACTTTTAAAAATATATGTGGATACATGGGTATTCCTCCAGCTTCCTGAAATATAATTACTGATGATTTTGCATCAATATTTCATCGGATGAGCAGTAGCTGAAATTTACAGCACTTTGTGTCTGGAGGGCTAACTCAAAATCTATCAAACACAAAAACAACTTGAGTTGCAGCCACCACCCAATTTTCCTTTTGTGATACATTTCAGTTTTGTTCAAAAGTCAAAGTAAGCTGTGCAAAAGATTTAAGAACACACACTGAAGATGTTACTGATGTAGCTCAGCATACATTGTAATATTTTCATTGATCCTTAAGCTTTTCTTAAAACTATACAAATAAAAATTGAGGCATAAAAACTTAATTAATGTAAATTTTTGCAGAAATGAAGTGCAGTGGCCTGTTTATCCTACACCTTTGTAGGAAGGGTATAAGACAGTAATCTCTTCTGTTAATTTTTCTTTCAGGTCCAAACTTAGTCTTTTTCAGTCAAGAATAAGCTTGCAGAAGGCAAGTGTAAAGGTGAGTATAATAAAACCCTTAACAATAAGATTCCTTATAATCCTGCTTTGCAGCTAAATTCATGAGGCGTGTGACCAGAGTTGTCTGGAATCTGGAGGTGACTGACATTTTGGGAGATTCGTTGTTAGAACAAGTGAGGGGATAAGAGCAAGCTCTTTTGGCAGTCAGAGCACAGAATTACGTATGACCAAATTTACAAGGAGATTTTTTCTAGTGGGAGTTACAGCTCTTCTTTAAAGACCTCATGTGAAATTACCAACTGTGTGAGAGAAGAAAACGGTAAAAATCCTCTTACCATTAAAAATGTGAAGCTATTAATGCCTTAAATTTTTGACTATGTTAATACATAGATATGCATGTTAGTTTACTATTATTACATGTTTGGTCTTTGAACGTCTCAGCAGTACCTATCTTTTAACTTCCATTTCTTCTTGCAGTTAAAAGCACGACGATCCGAGTGTAATTCCAAGGCTATCCATGCAAGGAATGATTATCTTCTCACTTTAGCAGCTGCTAATGCACACCAAGATCGCTACTATCAGACAGACTTAGTAAACATTACAAAGGTAAGGAAACTAATTTTGGTGTTGGAGATGGGAAGTGTGAAAATCTGGAATGCAAAATGAGTGAAGTACAAAATCTTGGGTTCTTTTGCAACAGCAATGTTGATTTTTTCCAATATCCTGCAATAGATGAGAGTGCAGTTCAGCAGAGAGATCCTGCGATAGTGTGCAGCATCTATGGAACCAATTACCAAGCCCTGAAGCTCAGCAGTCACCTTTTTTTAATTCACTTTTTTCCTGAAAAACTTGTATAAAAAAATCAAATTTGTAAGGCTAAGACCTGTATTTTCTTATTGTAGTCGACCTTAAGTAACTGGAGATTTTTTACTTCTTTGGTAGCATATCCCATAATTCTTTTTTTGTACCTGATTATCTGATCAAAACACTTCTTTACTGCATAATTAATAAATATAATAATTACGTATCTTGGGTTTGAACTATGAATTTTAGAAAGTAGCAAATCAGCATTTCTGTACTCGCATGTGGCACCTTGCCAGGTGAAGCCAAGAGCAGATACTTGAACTCGTCAGAAGTGGCAAACTTAAAAAGTTCAGATATGATTGCTCAGAGTTTGGGATTTTTAATATCATCCTAGAATTACTTAAGTGTACACTATTTCTGTATCTTAGATAGTTACAGATTAATTGTAAAATCAGCTATTTAAAGCAAATTTGTTCTTTATGTAGTTGCGTTTCATCTATTGACATTTTCAAAGTTTATTTAAATTTGCTATCTACAGACTATTTGCAGGTGATGCAATCAGGCATGGCAACTTATGAGTTTGTGATTTGCATTTAAAATTGCTTTATTGAGGAACTGTCTGTGTATTATAACAAATCACTGTGTTATCATCATGCTTTTGCATACAAGGGGGAAAAATATTGATCTGAAAAGCAGGTACCTGAAGTAGAAAATGAGAGCACCAAACGAGGCCTCCAAGGGATTTTTTTAATGTTACTCCATTATATCGACTAAGTTAACCATTCCTCCAGCAATATGTGCATTCCTCTTCGAGTAAATCACAGCCTGTGTTTTACATTCATTGCTATGCCAAATATCTGACTTCCTGGAAGGTTAAATCAGATCTGGGTATCAGAGGCGATGCAGGGCTGTTAGTCATTGAGGCAGCAGCCCTGTGGTTGCTCTGTGTGTGTGTGCGGTTGTGCTTTTCTAGAAGTAAAATATGAATGTTTGTGCTTACTAAATGTTCAGTCCATGGAAATGGTTTTAAAGTAAATATTTCCTTATCATACTGGAGATAAAAATACGAACTGATGCCTACATAAGAGAATTCCATACCTCCATGCATGGTTGGCTGTCATCAGTTAATGGTCTTACTTGGGAGTAATGGCAGACTGAATTTAATATGTTCACAATAAAACAGGCAAAACAGTCATTTGAAATAATAAAAATTGAGCAGATAGCCCAGGTAATATGGTGGCTGATGGGTTGTGGCTGCTCTACTCTCAGGGCATTGCAGTATAATCACTGCAAAGGAATTCTTGTTTCCTCTGAATGTCCGGCTATGTTTTTGGTGTATTGTGAACATGACAAGCGTAACAAAAGGATCTTCATCTCTTTGAGTTCCCGTAAATATTTACATCTTCTAGATAGTTTGGGCTTTGTGTTCTCTGATGGTAGAAACCTGTGGATACCCCAGGAGTGTGGGGGGTTTTATAAGTTGCAATAAAACATCAAACACAAAACGGCTGAACCGTTTTTGAAAGACTGAAAAACACAATACTGGCAAACAAAGTCACGCTGGTGCCGCTCCTCTGCATCTGAGTCATTGGCCATGGATGTTGTGCTTGCATGGGGTTCAGTTGCTAAAGCCGCTGCTGATCTTTGGTGGTTTTTTTACCCAGCTACTGGGCTCCCTCTTACCCAGCCCTTTCTTTTCTAGAACTTGTTTTGAGACTTTTTCTCAAAGTGAAACTTTTTTATGGTATGGAAGTCTCTCTGTGCAAATGATTCTTCTATATAAATAATTGTGGTTTACTAAAAACACAGAATCACAGAATGCTTTGGGTTGGAAGGGACCTCTGGAGCTCATCCAGTCCAACGCCCCTGCAGTAAGGAGGGACATCTTCAACTGGATCAGGTTGCTCAGAGCCCTCTCCAACCTGACCTTGAATGTTCCAAGGATGGGGCATCTACCACCTCTCTGGGCAACCTGTGCCAGCGTCTCACCACTCTCATTGCAAAAAAAGTCTTCCTTATATCCAGTCTAAATCCTTAGTTTAAAACCATTACTCCTTGTCCTGTCACAACAGACCTTGCTAAAAAGATTGTCCCCATCTTCCTCATGGGCCTCCTTTAAGTACTGGAAGGCTGCAGTAAGGTCTCCCTGCAGACTTCTCTTCTCCAGGCTAAACAACCCCAACTCTCTCAGCCTGCTTCAGGCCTTGAATCATTTTCGTGGTCTCTTCTGGACCTACTCCACCAGCTCCATGCCCTTCTTTTGCTGAGGGTTGCAGAGCTGAACACAAGACTGCAGGCAGGGTCTCACCACAGTGGAGTAGAGGAGAATCCCCTTCCTTGACCTGCTGGTTTCACAGGTTGTTGCAGATACTGTTATCGATCCAAATTACTTTGTAAGGACAGGACAATTCAGGGTTCTTTTTCTGCATCTCTCTCAGATATTTACAGTAGTTGAATATCCTTGTCTGGTAGACAACTCTATTCTTAATGAAGAACTCTAGATTTGGGGTTTTTGCATTGTTGTTCATGAGCAAAAGATACGTGGGAATGCACCCACGTGTCCTCACAGCAGGGTCATTCTTTGGAGCAAGGGAGAAAAGAAGTCAATGGCAAGGTTTCAAATTAAAGTGGCTACTGAATGCATTTTAGAAGAGGGGGAGGGAAAATCAAGTGTAATGTATCACTGGGCTCAAACTGCATTCACCCAAGAGTTATGTAAATGTGATATCACTTAAATACAAACAACAGTGTGGAATCTGGTGCTAAAACCCACCTCAGTGCCAGCAGAAAGCAACAAGGGTTTCCCAGCCTTTTCAAAGGGCTCCAGGAGGGGCCCTGTGAGTTATAGATGAAGAAATGAGACTTCCCTACCAGGCAGGCTGATAAAACAGGAGCAGTGATCAGTGGAGTCATTTCACACGCGGGTAGGTAGGATACGGTGGGCACAATCAACATTATTTTTTGAAGTGGGGAAGTGTCCTGCAAAAAGAGATCTTTAAAAAGTCAGGAAGCCTGGGGATAAGGATGATTCATCTGATTTAATGTCTTGAATGTGCCTGGAGCTCTCAACAAACTTCCCACTCAGTCTCTGCTTACGTAAAAGAACGACATTGTTGCAGATAGGGTGCTGAGGGTTTTCTCATAGATTAATAACTGATGAAGAGATAGAGAAGATGTGGGATTAAAGTAAATACTTGGGTTTTATAAGGGAAAGAAATTTGCTGACAAGTTCCTGGTTTCTCTCTTACCTTTCTCCTCCTTCTGAAGTGCAGGTAGGAACTGTGCAACAAAGTGATTATTTTATTTAGCATAATGATTTAATATAAACAATACGGAGAAGGTACTGAAAAGAGAAGTGATGATTGGATGGTGAAGACTCGTCCAGTATAAGCAAATGTAAAGCTTGTGACCAAAAGCTGCAGTAAGATCTTGACAATTTTTGTTAACCAGGCAAGAAAATAGCACATGAAATCCATGTTAAAAAGAGAAAAGAGATGAGTTAGGGAGAAAATTGCTGCCCACAGCATGAAGTAATAGCCATTACTGTTGATGAAGGATACTATAACTGGAAAATGTAGTGAAGGATAAAGAAATGGAGACTTTGTTAAATACTTCTAATCCTTCCTCTAGGTAACGTCCCTAGGAAAAGAAGTCTAACGGATTTTAAAACTTTTGTAGGCATCCTAGTTCCTGTTTTAATAGGTTGAGTGGCAGTGTCAGCCAGTGTACATTACATGCTGTAATACAGTTGTACGTGAATTTGTGTTGAATGAGGGTTGTACTCTGTGGGGTTTGTTGGTGAGAGTCACTGGGGAGAGAAGCTGGGATTGGCTAAGCTGGACCACAGCCAGTGGCCACGAAGCACTGCCTGCTGCTGGCTTTGAGTCTGAGTTGTAGCGTGGCACTCTGAAACCATCACTTTGGATGGTCTCCATGTGCAGACAGCCCTTGCTTTCCTAGAAAACTTGGAATTTTATTAACTTTGACATCACCTTGTATATATTGATAAATAGTGGATCACAGAATCACAGCATGGTTGGGGTTGGAAGGGACCTCTGAAGATCATCCAGTCCAACCCCTGCCAGAGCAGGATCACCCAGAGAAGATCACACAGGAACACGTCCAGGCGGGTTTTGAATGTGTCCAGAGAAGGAGACTCCACAACCTCTCTGGGCAGCCTGGCCCAGTGCTCTGATACCCTTACAGGAAAGAAGTTTTTCCTTATGTTTAGGTTGAACCTCCTGTGTTCCAGTTGTGACCATTGCCCCTTGTTCTCTCACTGGGCACAACTGAGAAGAGTCTGGTCCCATCCTCCTGGCATCAGCCCTTCAGATATTTATAAGCACAAATGAGATCCCGCTCAGTCTCCTCTTCTCCAGGCTAAACAGCCCCAGCTTTAACCCCCCCAGCCCCCAGGTGGGGTTTATCTCATCTCCCAAGTAACAAGCAATAGGATGAGAAAATGGCCTCAAGTTGCATCAGGGAAGGTTTAGGTTGGATATGAAGAAAAATTCCTTTACTGAGAGGGTTATCAGGCATTGGAATGGGCTGTCCAGGGAAGTGCTGTCTTTTTCTGTATCTACCCTTTATGTCCAGGATTTACATCTGGATATAAGAAAGTTGTGCCATAGACCTGAGCTCTGCATTTCAATCTCTGTAGTCAAATTTAAAAAAAAAAACAAAAACAAAACAAAAAACCAACACAAAAACCCCTCAAACAAACAAAAAAAATAGACTAAAGCATCGTAATGTTTTGTTCTTCGCCAGTTTTCTGCCAAGCTGCTTAGGAACAGTCAGCATCC